GCCGTGCAGGGCCCCCAGCCCCTCGTCACTCAGCCCGCCGCCCGCCCACTGCGCGTACAGCGCGCGCAGCGACCCCGCCAGCAGCTCCCCGATGACAGCCAGCCCCGCGTCGCAGCAGAGGGCGCTCTGGGTGACCTCCAGGTGACTAATCCCCGCAGCCCCACCTGGCCCGGGCTTTTGAGATGCTGCTGCTGCCGCCCCCGCAGAGACAGCGTCGCCGCTGTGCCGCTCGTCCTCCTCGTCCGCTGGGCCGGAGCCGAGGGGCACCCCCAGCACGAGCGCGCGCAGGCCGTCCGCGGTCACGCCCGAGCCGCGCAGCCCCAGACGCGCGAGGCCCCGTGCGCCGGCGGCGAGGCGCAGCAGCAGTTCGTCGTCCAGCGTGCTGCGCGTGAGGGTGGCGCGCTGGGAGACCTGGAAGCGCTGCTGCATCGCGCCGGCGACGAGCCAGCGGAGCGCTGGCCAGCCGGGGCCGGCGCGGGGCGCGGCGCCGCGAGGGGGGCGCGTGGCGTACCAGCCTGTGGGGGCGTTTGTGGGCAGGCAGGGAAGCAAGGACACCTGAGTGCGCCACTGCACTTTGAACAAATGCCAAGAGCCGCCCCTCCCATAGTTTACGTTGGCAGCCCTTGACCTGGTTTTTCAACACAGCAAAGATGTAGTCTACCTTGCTGCACGACACGCCCCGACAAAGCCCCTGCCACCCCATCACACCCCGTCTCCCGCACGCCGCCTCTGCACCCCTCTCCAATTAAGGCCCCCCGCGAGCCCGCGCCCGACCAACGAAACAAACGCAACGCGCCGCGCCCCTGGCATCCCGCCCACCCGCCCACCATAGAAGCCGCCGACCCCCTCGAGTGACAGCACTTCCAGCGCCGGGCAGCTGCCCTGCAGTGCCTCGATGTTTATCGTAATCCCAGGTGCCACGCAGCTTCCCGTCAGGTCCAGCTCGACCAGGTGGGGGTAGCCCACCACGGGGGCCGGCACAGCCCCGGCCGCGGCGGCTTGGGAGTCGACGCCTCCAGGGGTGGCGGCTACCGCCTGCTGCTGCTGCTGCTGCTGCTCAGAGGTGTGGTCCCCCGGCCCCTGGCACAGCAGCTTCAGCTGCGGTGGAGAGTTTGGGGTGCACAGAGCAACAAGAGCCAGTGACAAACAGGTGCAGACACCAGCTCAAATCACCAACATTTTGCCAAGATACAAGGTCGCACATTCGTCAGTGACAGGAGCACCAGTCACAAAAGCACCAGTCACAAGTTGACGAGTCACAAGCGTGCACATGAGGCAACGCGCACTGCAGGAGCCGCAGCCGGACACCCAAGCACGACTGGGGTCACGGCCGCCCTCCCGCCAGCCCCCCACCGTCTTGTTGCTGATCAGCGGGCAGCGCCGCGCCTCCAGCGCCCGCAGCCGCCGCCCGCCGCCCCACGCGGCGGCGAGCAGCGTCTGCAGCGCCTTGTCGAGCCCTGACAGCGGCTGCAGCCTGAGTACAGTAGAGTAGATTGGACCGGGCGCTGGGCACCCAGAATGCTTTGAGCACGGGCGCGGGGGTCAGGGCAACCGCCCGTTCCCCCGCTGCCCCACCGGTGTGGGGGACCTGGGGACCCCCGCTGGGCATTTAGGGACCCTCAGGTGGCGCCATTAGGCTGCCCCTTGCGGTGTCGCCTCGCACACACTCGCCTGACGTCGTGCAGCCGCAGCTCTTCCAGGGAGGGCATGGCCAGGAGGGCCGCCTCCAGGGCGCCGGCGCGGATGGAGGGGCTGCCTTTGAAGGGGGGTGATGGTGTGGGGGCCCAGGTGGATTCTTTGGCAAAGTGTGGAGTGTGGGTAGGAGGGTGCTTTCGTGGTTGAGGAGGAGGGTGGGTAGTTGAAGGTATTGGTTCCGTGGGGGCGGGGGAAGGGGTTTTGGGGGGTGTCATTTCGGGAGGCGGGCGAGTCGCCGGCGGTGCTGTCGACGACAGCAGGGCGCGGCTGCTGTGGGCAATCAGTCATCGACGCATCGCAGCGCACAACCCTTCAGAGAAAATAACCTTGGTTTCTCCCCTTGCGCACACACACACACACACACACATGCACACATATGCACATATGTGCACATATGTGCGTGCGCACATGCCCGCGCGCACGCGCGCACGCGTGCACACACACGCACACACACACACACACACACACACATTGCAAGCACAACAGCACGTATCCAAATCCCCACGACAATTCACACTGCCTCGTGCGCAAGTGCCCGCTCTCTCGCTCCCCAAGCTCACCCATGAACGCCAGCTTCCTGATCCCGGGGCAGTGCCGCGCGAACGCCGCTAGCGCCTCCGCGCTTGTGCCTGCGTCCTGGCTGCGCTGCGCATCGCCGTCGTCCTCGTCAGCCTCCGCGCCCTCAGCAACAGTGCCGGCGCCGGGAGGGGGAATTTGGCCCACCGTAAGGTCTTCCAGCTGCATGTGAGAGATGGCACAAGAAACAAATAGACAAGGGTTAAACAAGAGTGGCCGACTTGGACAGGGTGCTTGCGGCGTATGTTCATGATCAGCTGTAAACAGCTTTGTTTGAATTGAGATTCAGGCCATGTAGGCTCGCGGAACAGCAGCTGCTCTCATAATCTGCTGCTGTGCGGCAATCGCCCCGCCCTCACGCACGCAACAAACGAGCCGCCGTGAGGACCCTGCCGTGGGCGCAGCACGCATGCACCAGGCAGCCAGCCGCTGCCCCAGATTAAACAGCAATCGTCACAGGCCCCCTATGTGGTGCCGCCGCACACCTTGGCCCACCGACCGCTGGCGGCCTGCCGCTGCAGCCAGGCGTCTATGGCCGCGCTGTGGCGGCCCCTGGCGTCTAACACCCGCCAGACCTCCGGCGTTGCTGCGACCCCGTCACGCCACGCGCGGCAGACGCGCGACAGGCGGCACGCGGCCGGCAGCGCGCCGTCTGCGCAGGCGAGCTGGAACACCTGCGATCGATCGCAGGGGCAAAGAATTTCGGTCGACGCCAGTCAAAACAACTTTGGCTTACAGCAAGAGACGCCCTGAGCGGGATCTTCTCCACACAGACTGTCACAAACAAGACCCTGGGGCAACCAGGGCAAGCATGGGCGCGGCCGCTACGCCAAAAACACCCAACTAGCTGCAGAGCTGTGAGACCCATATGCGCACTTGGGAAAGCACGTTCAGAGGCAGAGCGGCAAACTCCCCGGTCGAACCGCGTGCGGCGGCGGCAGCGGCAGGGGCGCGTCGCGGCGCGGCCGCGGGGGACGCGGGCTGCGCCAAAAACAGCCGCTGGCGCCGCTGGCTCAGGGTTTCGTCGGGATCGTCGCTGCTGCTGCCCCCCGAACCGTCCTCATCAGCGCCGGCGCCGCGCCGCGTGCGCCGCGATGCTGGTGCGGTCTGCTGCCGCTGCCGCTGCCCGGTTCGTCCGCCCCGCCGCGCGCCGCGCGCGGCCGTCCGGGGCTGCGGTCCAGCCGCTTTCTTTGATGGCGTATGGTCCTCTGGTTGGTAGTCCTCGTCGTCGCTGGAGCAAACCACTAGCGCGCCGAGCAGGCCGCGGCGCCCGCGCGGTGCGGGCTTGGCGGCACGCAGCTGACGCTTTGGGGCCTTCTTCGGGGCCATCCCTGCAGCAATTTGAGTATGGCTACAGCTACCTTTGTCGCATATGCATGTGCGTATATAGTGTGGAACACAGCGGATGAGTGGTTGGCACGAATGTGTAGAAAGACGAGCTGGGCGAAACAAGCTCGCAAGCGGAGTAAGTTCAATTGGTAGTCATAATCTCGCAATCATAAGCTTGGATCCTGCGTTCGTGGTGGTCCCGCCGAGCGCCGACGCAACATGTCACCTGGTGCCGCCTAGGCGGCGGCGAGCAGCTCTCTTCAGCTTTGCACAATTGCGACATGCATCCACTGAATACGATATGTGCTGCCTGTGTGTTGTGAGTGTGCAAGTCTTGTACTTACTTTGCTTGGAATCGCCCCAAGCAATCAGGTGCCTCCACTCATCCCCCCTTGCAATCACATGCCTGAGTTGACATCAGCGCACTCACTCGCACGTTTGCCCATACATGTACCCAGAACCTTGCCTGCAGCGCAAAACATGTCAACACATGCTCATGTGTGCATTGCTTTGTCATTTGCAGCGCACATGTCATGACATGTGCGATTATAGACACTGTTTACAAAAGCCTCATGGATTACAGCATAAGCTGAATCAGCGAGCGGGGAATCTAGCAAGCAGTTGCTGGTGACGCAAGGTACATGCAGGGCCTGCTCCCCGCCTTGTCCCACAAAGAATGGAGTTGCACGGGTTCAAAGGCCACGTCGCAGCCATGACCCCGCCGATTTGAGAGCATGCCGCCGCAGGAAATCACCCCGCAGACGCAGCCTCCCCGCCGCGCGCGCCTCCTGCGCGTGCCGGCTCGCCCTTCTCTGCACCCTGCCCCTTCCCTGTGCCGCTGCCGTCGCGGGCGGCGCTCCCGACCACGCGCGTGGGTGGGCCCTTCATTTGCACCAGCTCCTCCGAGGCGGTGGGGTGGACGCCCACGGTAGAGTCGAGCTGCGCCTTTGTGGCACCCGCCTTGAGGGCCACGGCAAAGCCCTGGCAAAGGGTATGACGTGAGTTTGTGCCCGTGTAGCGCGTGAGGTGCGTGGGTTGTATCTGAACGATTAATCCCACGCAAGAATGTGGTGCAAGGCACACACGCTCAGTCTCCCCGCTCCATCACCCATCCAGCCTGAAGGTCTGACAAGAGCAGAGCGCTGCTCCTCAGAGCAGCCCGGCCCCTCCACACTTGCCTTGAGATGGGCGCCCCCCGCACACTCTCCCACCCCCACGCATGCACACATATGCGCAAGCACACAAAACAGCCCTCCAGCTCATTTCAAAGCGCTCCCACCTGGATAGCCTCCGGTGCGTCCTGCCCCACCAGATGCACCCCCAGCAGCCTGTCGCTCTCCTCATCCACGACCACCTTGGCCAGGCCCCGCAGCGGCCCCGCCGCCGCGCCGCCGGCCGCGCCGGACCCGCGGCTGGCGGCGGCGGCGGCGGCGCGGCCGGCAGCGGCGATGCCCTCCCTCAGGGGTGTGTAGGACTTTGAGAAGACGGCGACTCGGGGGTACTTCTCGGCCGCCTGCTCCTCCGTCAGCCCCTGTGTGCGTTTATGGATGGGATGTGAAAAGAAAAGGCGGCGGATCGAGGGTGCAGTTATGTGTGCATGCTGCTTCAGCAACACCATTCTGCAACCACCGCAGCAGAAACGAGGTGAGAGGGCCGTCGCAGGCGGGGTCACAGGGCCGCACGTTCTTTGGGGGCTGCCGCCCTTGCCCTCGACACAGTGGCGCAAGCGAGCATGCGCCGTCCGAGCCCGGCGCGGCGAGCGGGCGCGGTCAAAACCGTGCGCACCACTGAGGCGATGAAGGGCAGCGAGAAGACGGCGCTGGGGACGTTGGCGTGGTCTGGGCGCGTCGGGGCGCCTGCAGGCGAGAGCGCACAATTGGGAGGGTGCGAGGCTATGAGCCTGGTGGTTTGGCTGGGCGTGGCGGCTGCTCAGCCACGCGCTGCCTGCTTGAACTCAGCAGCCGCAGTGCGAGTAAAGCATCAACCCTTTCGGCAACAAGGCTTGATAGGTCATGAGCGGCGTAGCTGGAAGACGCAGCTGCGGCGTGCAGATAGGAGCAACGAGCTAGGCGTGGCTCTTCCCACCCGTGAGTGTGTGCGCGAGGGCGTCGCCCTCCATCGTGGCGACCGGTGTCAGCGCGATGCGCCCCGTCACCTGCGATGGTTTGGTACAGGTCAGAGCCAGGTGAAGCGGTTGGGGGCCGGAGGTTGGGCGGGTGGAGCTGGATGCATTTGCAGCTGGCAACACATTTTCGGCAAGTTGGCTTGCAGCGGGACGCAGCGGTGTGTGGTGGTGCTCCAGCCCTTGAAGTCCTCGCAATGTGGGTGCACGGGTGGGCGCAGGTGTGTCGCCGCTCACGTCGCCGATGGCCCAGATGGAGGGGACGCTGGTGCGGCTCAACTCGTCGACCACCACTCCGCCCTTGGGGCCTGCGAGTCCAGCACGGGTGGCAGGCGCCACGTGCGGCACGCGGGCGGGGAGATGGTAAATACCACTGCCGCTTGGAACCAAGCGTGCCGGAGCTGGAGCGTCGGCGGAGAGGAGGGTGGGCTGCTGGGCTTATGGCGGCTGACAGCAAAGCGAGCCCAGGAAGCCGCTCGAGCTGCAACAAAGGTTGGTGGGCTGGCTGCAGCCAAATTTTTCGCCGCGCAAGCAGCCGAGCGCACACTGCAACAGAAGGCCAGCAGAAACTTTGCGGTGTGTGCGCCACAGTTCTCACCGAACTTCACGCCCGCCTCCTCCAGCCCGATGCCAGAGGCCTTGCCGCCGCGCCCCACCGCTAGCACCACTTCGTCGCACCCTTCGATCACAAACTCCTCCCCCTGCCCCTCCGACTTCCCCTCCTCCCCCTTTGGCGGCTGCCTCTGCACCCGCACGCTCAGCGTGCGCCGAGGCGCCGCGGCGGCCGCGCCGCCGCCGCTGTTGGTGGCTGCGTCCGCGTCCGCGCCGGCGCGCGCGGCGTCGGGGGCGGTGGCGTCACCAGGCTCTTGGCGGGTGACCTCCACTGGGCTGCAGTCCATGTGCATGTGGATGCCTGCGGCTCGGTACTGATCCAATGCAAACTGGCAGACCTGCAAACGCGACCAGTTGAGGTTGGGGTTGGGGAAGGTGGGGAGGAAGGAGGGGTGTCAACGTTCAGATGAGTGCCAGGTACAGTTTGCGGATGCGTGTCTAGGTTTCTGACGCGCGATGTCATATGCATCCAAGTGTGCCAAAGGCGTGTGATGGGAGGCGCAGATGGGCGCACAAAGCCGGGCAGTACATCCGAGTCCTAGAAAGAAACCCACACACACGCCATACGTGCTTCAGGCCTGTAAGCGTGCAAGACAAATCTGTGGAAGAACGCGCTGCCGCCCACCTCCTTATCGAAGCGCGGCGCCAGGGGCAGGGGGCCGCGGGCGATGACGTGGACCTCGGCACCCAGGCGGCTGAACATGCCAGCAAACTCGACCCTGCCAGGAGCAGTGCAAGCGTGATGTCACCGTGATGTTGGCCAGGGGTCAAAGCAGCGGGTGGCGGTGCAGCGCAGGTTCCATCAGCGAAGGGCCCCAGCATGCCCGTTCCCGGCTCCTGGGCCCGCCATGGCCCCCACCACCTCAATCCTCTGCCTGCCCTAATCCCCATGCAATGCACGGCTGTCCCCAAGCAATGCCCGGCGCTGTGCCCCTGCCTCGTCATCCCCCAGGAGGTCAGGTAATCACCCGGCTCACCCAATGTAACCGCCGCCGACAATTACAATCTTCTTGGGGCGCCGCGGCAGCTCCAGGACCTGGTTGGCCACGTGCGAATTGGAGGGGCTGCATTGATGGGGCGTGCATGCGCAGGGGGGGGGGGCTACACACGCAGCTGGCTGCCAGCATTGCATTATTGTCACGGGGATATGAACCGCGAGGCAGCGGCTGCATTTGCCCTCAGCAGGCATCCTGGAGGGTTGAGGCAGCCAAGCCCAGAGCACGAACGCATGTTGGCAAAAACATCCACAGGACGACAATTGTCAGTAATTGTGATTTACGTCCAGTGGTACGCTCTGATATAATCTTGATATAATCTTGGTTGGAATTATGTCTCATCAGTTGGCTGTTGTTCTCACATTGTCTGACAGGATGCAGTGTTCGGCCCCGGGGATGGGGATTTTGGTTGACTTGCCGCCGGTGGCGATGACAATGTGATCCGCCTGGAGGGGGGTCGGTGTCGCCACACGGAGTTTGGTGTGTTTGAAGCAAGCAAGCGAGGCGCAGTTGGCTCAGACGCGTTAAGCTGGGTGACGACAAAAGCATGGTGCCTCACAGACCGGGAGGTGGCAGCACTCAACTGCCCAACACGTTTGGACTGAGTTGAAACCCGAATTGAGTTGGAACCCGAACAGGCGAATTTCCAGCCTTGGACCCGAACGCCAAGGTGCTGCCATGCACTATGGTGGAACGCACCAACTGCGAGCAGCTGCCCCCCTTTTGCAACAAATCCCCCGCAGTCTACAGACCCCTCTGCCCATGTCCGCAACCTTCCCCGCCCCCAAACCCTGCCCTTGCCCTCAACAACTGTCTGCTCGCACCGTGAAGCGCCGTCCGCCATCGATCTCCACTGCGTGAGGGCCGTCCACGCGGCCGCGGCCCTCGAAAACCTCGACACCCGCCCTATGGTAGTGACACATGATGACATGGGGGCGGACGCAACTCAATTCGCTGCGTAAAACAGCCGCAGCTGCACTCACAAGTGTACAAGTGTCCTTGAATCAAGCAGCCCACACCTGTGCTATATTGAGCAGCCAAGTGGAGGCTTGATCCGAACGCGCCACACTCACTTGAAGCCGATGAGCACAACCGCGGGCACACGATGCAAACCCTACCGCCCACGCAACGTCCGATGTTCCGCACTACTCTCCATGTGCAAAAGGCCCCCACGACCTCGGCCCCCATTACTTGGCAAGTGTGTCGGAGTATGTGTGGCTGAGCCGCAGCAGCTCGTTGCGCTTTGCCTCCATGAACTCGTCCCATTGCAGCTCGTAGCTGCCGTCCAGCTTCCACCTGGCGATCCAGGCGGTTGAGCGGTGCTGATAATTGCAGGTACAACTCTGTGGTGAGCTGTAGGGAGCAGGTCAATCAGGAATGGGCAAACCAGCCCGCAGCTGGTTGCATCAGCGGCGTTCAATCGCAATGCGGTGTGTGCTGAATTGATGGCTGTTGTTTTCACACCCCGACCGACCCGCTGCGGCGGGACGCACCCAAAGCCGCGGCTGCCGGCGATTTCAGGGGCGAACTCAGCAGCGAAGAGGAGCAGCTTTTTGGGCACGCAGCCGCGTAGCACGCACGTGCCGCCCACGCCGCCGGCGGTGTCGGAGCTGAGGAAAGCGAACGGCAGCTCACACAGCGCGACGCGGGCACCTGGTTGACAGGCGCAAACGGGTTCATTGTAGTGACGTTATGGAAAAGGCAATGAGCTTTTGGGGCATGACGCAATTTCAGTTGCCGAGCAAGGGCAGCCAGAGCCGGACTTTTACCGAACAATCCCCTTGTCAGTTGCCTGATCGACTACCAGAGCACGGTTCTCACCGCGCTCTGCTGCAACGCGGGCGCAGCGCACGCCGGCGCTGCCGCCGCCGATCACAAATACGTCATACTGCCGGCGCCCCTCCTCAGTATAGGAGCTGTCCCGGACGGCGGCCGAGCGGGAGCGCGCTGCGCCATGGGCGGCGTGTTGGGGCGTGGCGCGGCTCGTGAGCCACTGGGGGTGGAGCGGCACATGTGCCGCAATCCCCGCTGAGCGGAAGGCCGCGACAGGAAAAGATTTGTGAAACCAAGACATAGGTGCGTCCTACTTGGGTAAAACGGCCTGGCGCGGCGTGCCACGGGATGAAAGTTGCGGTATCTGATTCCGGCCGCAACCAGAGTTGATCGATCTTGTATGCGTGAGGTTTGCTGGACGGCTCTCATGGCTGCTGAGCAGTGGGCGCCAGCACGGCTGGCGATCGCCAACGGATGCCTGGGTGGCAGGTGCGCGTCACTGTGTCAGCAGTGTCACTACTTGGGCAGAAGGCAACCGCACTTCAAGAAAAGTTCAGTTACTTCCAAGTTCCATCCGTCGGGCATTCAATTAGCTCGCAGAGGAACGGGCCGGTCGGTGAACCGGGCGAGCTTCGGCACTGGTGCCGCCGATGCCATCAGCGTGACGCAGCTTCACAGGGTTGGGCCAAGGAGACGGCACAACCGCGCCCGCACATAACAGCCAGGTGGAGCTGTGATCAGCCCTGTACATATTGGGATCATCCCTCCCACCTTCAGCTTGCTGTTGCCAAGATTCTTGCTGTATGCTTTTTGCGATTTGCTGCCTCACCAACCTGATCTCCCACACACGCACCCATGCATTGATCCAGCAGGGTGACGTATCAGACTCATATCTTGGACGCAGGGGCACGTTGATCCAAACGATTGGATCCTGTTGTGCTGTCAGCTTTGCATCCCCTGCGCAGTGGAAAAATAAAACCTGCTGCAACGTGGCATACACGCCCTGCCTCACCAGCAAAAACGAAGGGTGGAAGCTGTTGGGAGGGCGGTGCGCGCTGCACCGACGCTTGACTTGTCACAGTGCTGTCCAGAGCAGTACAGGTGACAAGTCGACGCCTGTGAAGCGGCGCTCCAGGTCTCCCCAGTTTTCACTGCGCGAGCCGCCGCAGCGCACGCAGCGACGGTTGCCCCTCGGGCGCAGCTGGACGCGTCTGCACGTCCATGTGTGATGTCTGGTTCGCGTGTGGCCCACGCGGGTTTCTATTGTCCCTATACAGAGTTTCTCGGGAGCAATCCCTATCTCTAGGCATTGCAATGCACCTTGCTAAGCACCTCCGGGCTCGCCAGCGACCGCCACGGCAGCGGCGCGGCCGCGGCTCCCGCAACAGTGGTGGCGGCGCATCTGAAGGCAGCAAGCTCTGCAGTGCGAGCTTCGAAAGCTGTGCCCACCGCGTCCTGCACCAGGGCAAGCGGGGACTGCTGTCCCAGACGACCCGCTGCCTGGTATGCAGAGCACCCATAGGGGGTCATGGTCCACTGGACTGGCAGTGTGATTTGAAATGTGCGCCCACTGGAAGCAGCCGCGCCGCACCCGCCACCAACTGCCGGGCGGGCGGGCGGCGGACCAGGCCAGCGGCGCCAGCATCAGCCCCACCTGTGCTAGCAACGTGGCGGCGGCGAGGGGGAAGAAGACTTGGTTGTGATGGAAGGAATTGTGAAAAGCACGTGCGGACAGTGTCGGCCACTGCCAGCGCGTCAGCCAGCGCATCTGCCAGCGCGTCTGCCAGCGCGCCTGCCAGCACGGCCGCCGCCGCCGCATGCAGCGTGGCGTGAGACATGAGCGGAACCAATAGCAGCCTGTGCAGCACCATGCCGGCGACGCCCCCGCAGACTCTAGTGCAGGAATGAGGAAGGCGGCCTCTCCTCTGCGGCCGGCGGCGGCTTCGGCAGCGGCGGCCGCAGAGACGAGCAGGCAGGCACAAGAGCAAAAATTAAATTGGTTATAATGTCGTGACTGTAGCCTCACACTTTACAGTAGGCCTGATGCAGGAGTTGACCAGCCCGGACTGGATGCGGTGTTGTGCTGGCACAACAGTCATTTTATGACCGTCGCTGATGGTGCAGCACGATGCCCTGCTGCTGCCCGCAGTGCTGCGCCAGTAGTCGAATCATGTATGTGTCTGGTATCAGGACATCGCTCGCCTCGTGGATCTGGAAGCGCATATCACAGTCAAAGCGAATTTGTGATCTGAAGCTCAGGTGCGTACATCGCTGTTTTTATAGAGGCGTACTACTCGTGAAATATTCACCCATAAATGCATGTCAGCATGGATCCGCGTGATGGCGCGACCAGAGGATCAGCGGCTGGATGTGTCACAGCTGCTGCACAAGCGCCCGCCCCATGCTGGAAGCATACCTCGGAAGGGCTGGCGATCAACAATATACCGGTACACCCACAAACAAAACAAATATGCTATTCTCAAACGTTGCAGGGCCTTTTGCAGCAGTCCAGAAGAGATGCTATCTGCAGGCTCCGCCGCAGCAAGGGCGGCACCCGGGACTGCGGTCGACGCCCTTGTCTCGCAGCCCACGACGTGCCGCCGCGGCGTCCCGGCTACATGCCGTGCGCAGCTCACGCCGGGAGCCACAGATGCACAGGCGGCTGCTGCGGCGCGAGCGAGCCTGAGGATAATGGCTTTCTCTGCAAAGCCCTATGGTGAGCAAGGTCAGACGGGGCCGACTGGCTCGCCATGGCCAACAAGTTCTCACAAGCACTCGCATGCACACATGCACGCACGCCAAAACATACAATTATACAAGCAAGCACGCAACATGCAATGTGCCAGGAGATTAGAAGTGTTCTTGCCCACACACCTTCCAGAAATTGGTCAGGGATCCTGCAGCATTTGTGGACACATTTGTCTGTCAGCAATACTCAACGTTGCCAAACCAGCGATGTTGCTCGGCATCTTACGCGGCAGCTCGTGCAAAGGGACCCCAGTCGGCACTAGAAGGCCGACATCGCAGGCCAATGGCCATGCGTGTCGGCTGTCGGCTGCTTGTGCGATCTGAGCAGGGTGCAGCAGCGACAGTAGCAGCGGCGTCAGCGCGGCAGGCCCCAGCGCAAACGCGGCTGGATGCATCCAGTTCGACACAGATCAATGCAGCTTGTCAACTTCACAGAACGAGTTCGGGAGCTCCTGCATCCGTCATGAATAAACTGGGGGGGTTAAAACTCCGTCGAGACAAGCCTACATTGGCAATGTCCCTTTGCTACCCACGGCCCTCCCACCGCCAACAGTTGAGAAGTACTTCATCAGCCGTCTCAGGGAGGAGGGCTTCCATAACGTGCGGTTCACAGAGGTGTGCGCGCCACGGCAGCACCACCCATCCGCCCTGTGCCAAACCCACGGCCACCGCCGGCATGCGTGCGGGTGACAGGGCCCGTGCGTTCGAAAGGCAGCTGCTTGCAGCGACAAGGAAACCACCATGTGGCGAAAGGGGCTGCGCCGGCGTCATCACCAATCCTGGCTTAATGTGCGCAGTAATGTAATACTGTAGCACAAGGCACAGCAGCAATGAGCAAAATGCACACCTTGAAGTTGCGACCCAGATGACGGACCTGCCACACATGAGCATCCCCACGGCACCTACCTCAACCACCTGAAACACAAATCACCCCCTCCCAGGCGCGCCTAGACCCGGAGACGGCCCTGATCGCCGCCGGCTGCGAGGCGGTGACCCTGTTTGTGAACGATATCTGCGACGCAAAGGCGCGTTACAGGGGATCCCTCTCATTGGCAGAAGTGGCAGGGGGACCCCTCAAGCTTGGTCGCGCACGCAGTTGGCGTGGCAATCGAGGCTGCAGTCCGCCATCGCTGGTAGTGGAGGCTCAGGCGCAGCCCTGGCCCGGTCTAACTCAAGACAAGATGAGACCAGGCGAGACGAGGCGGAATGAGGCCGCCGCGCTCCGCGTGACTCATGACGACTAATAACTGAAGCGGCCGGTGCGCTCCCGCTCACCCCCAGACCGTGCGCGCCCTGCGGGACGCCGGCGTCGAGTTTGTGGCAATGCGCTGTGCGGGGTATGACAGGGTCGACCTGGCCGCAGCACGGGACGCGGGCATCAGGGTGAGATGGATCATGGCGTAGATTCCCCAATATAGTTTGCGGCGATACGTTCTAGAGATGGTTTACGGGCATGATTGCAACAGAAAGGCCTTTGTGGTGGATTCACGAGGCCGGGACTGTCATGTTCAAATTCAGGCTGGGCCTCTGACGAAAGCGGGGGCAGCCTCGCGCCTCCGGAACGACAGGTGTCGGTATTGCGGCACGCATGCAGCCAACAACACGGCCGCACATGAGCCGGCGCGCGACACGTGAAAGAAGAGTGGGCCGACATGGCCGACTGGCATTGTGACCACCTCCTCCTCCTGGACACCGGCGCCGTGGGACACTAAGGCCACGACCTCCAGCGCCGACGGTGGTCTCATAATGCAAGCGCACTTGCAACCCTGCGCCCCCGCCTTGAACCAAACACACAGGTAGCACGTGTCCCGACCTACTCCCCCACCTCTGTGGCGGAGCACGCTGTGGCGCTTATGTTTGCGCTGGAGAGGTGGGCCCTTTTAATGCAGCACAGCGCGCCACTTGCTGAGTCGGGGCTTTGCAAATCCAGGCTCAGTTTGTTGCGTCCTCACGGCTGCTTGCGTTCAATGCATCCTTGTCTCGGAAGCGCCAAGGAGCAGCGCAGGGCCCTGTGCCTTACACGTATGCATGCGCTCGCCACTGTTTTGCAGCCAGTGTGCCGCTCAAACAGCCTCCTGTGGGGCAGCACCACATGCACGGCGCTGCTCTTGGACAAGGCAGAGCCCCCAGCCTGCTGGCAGGCAAGCCGCATCGATGCTGCCCCCGTACCCCCTCAGCCCACCACACACGTGCAAACAGATGGAAAGACACTGTTTCCCTCGCGCGTGTCTGCAGGCACCTGGTGCCTGCGGCGTCGCGGGTGCTGCAGGGCAACTATGCTTTATCAGGCTTGGTGGGGCGCCAGGTGAGGGGACCAACCCTCGCGATGACTGCTGGCGCCCTCGCTACTCTAGGGTTGTCCATACGCGCTGCGGCGTCCCGCCCATCACACAGGTGGTGGGGCAATACGCCGCCGATTCAAGCCTTGAATGCACGTCGTGCGCTTGCTTGTGACCACACTGCATCCCATCTGTGCCCCTCTTCAGGTCGGGGGCAAAACTGTGGGCGTCCTGGGTACGGGCGCAATTGGGGCTGAGGCGGCGCGTATATTCCAGGTGGGGGATTCTTCAACACAGTGCATTTTAGAGGCTCACTCACATCGATGCTCGTTTTTGTGTGCTGTGGTGCGCGGAACGCCCCATCAGGACCTGCCGCTTGCTTGCCCAGCCCCCTTGGGAGACTGGGCAATCATTGGCCCTGATGTGGGGTGAAGGGTGGTGGTTTTGGCAGATCAGACTGCGCGTCTGGTAGTTTGTTTCAAGGGGGTGTGTGCCTGGGATTGTGAGCAGCCCATGCCTCTCTGGGCTCGACTTCTCAGCTGATTCTGGCGGGCAAATGTTTGCATACATACACTGCCCTGCCATGCGCTCACAGACAAGGCGCCCATTTTAAGCCGCTCCCTGTGCACGCGCCTCTGCTACCTGCCGTGCGGTGATGTCCCTGCCACCGTTCATTCCGTACTTATGCATTGTCTTTGTCTGACTTTTGTTATTTGCAGGGCATAGGCATGAATGTGCTGGCATACGACCTCAAGGCAAACCCCAAGGTGGGCCCAACGCACGACTCAACCGTGCGGCGTAAAGGACCAGCGTCACATGCACCATGCGCCCCGCGCCCCGCACCGTCAATCCTGCTGCCAAGCCGTGCTGTTTTCAAGAATCGATTCGCATGTACCTTCTGCATGTGTCCCCTCCTGAATGCATCCGAACGTGCACCGCGCTGCTGACGTGTTGTTCTCAACGCACTGGCTGCTATCCAAATCATCCATCAGCTGACCGCAAAGGATACACTTATGGCTTGAACCTCGTGCCCTGCCTCAAACTTTACATGTGCACATGCATGTCCCATGATAAGCGATGCTCCTTGTCGAATTGAACAATGTTAGGTCGAGGCCCTGGGTATCCCCTACCTGCCCTGGGAGGAGATCCTGCCGCAGGCTGACGTTGTCAGCGTCCACGTGCCCCTGCTGCCCTCGACGTACCACTTCATGGATGTGAGCCGCGCGCTGTCGCCGTGACTGCGTGCTGTCACGCAGTGGCCGTGATGATGATTGGTCTCGTTTGAACAGGCTGCACGTGTCCACTGCCGCACGTGCGCAGGCAACATGCGCTAGAATGTTCTGATTGACCCTCACAGCAGCAGTGTCATCAAGCATGATGCCAGCACTGAGAATGGTAGCTTGATCAGATGCTCCCTAGAACCTACGGCATGCATCTTCATGTGTGCTCGTGCGTCTATCTGCATCCCACAACCCAAAGGCTGAGAAGCTCACAAGCATGAAGCCAGGCTCCACCCTCCTCAATGTCAGCCGCGGCGGCCTCATCGACTCGGGTGCGACGCGGGCCGCGCTGGCGCTCGGAGGGAGCAGTCGCACGTGCGCCGTAGCGTGCGGGGCGGGTGACGAGGGTGCTTCAAGTGGCGCCCAGCCAAGCAGGGGTGTGGCCCCTGGGAGCAACGTGTCAGGGCAGTGTTTCCTGAACGCCCCTTGCTAGGCCCTGTTGAAGACCGTGCAGTGTGCCGTCCAGTAGGAGCCCCTTCAACATCCACCCTTTGTGTATCCAATCTGCACAGCACACAGCAGGCCCTTGGGCGCCCTCTCCGCCCCGCCGCGCCACGCAGACGCGCTGCTCGACTCGCTGCGCAGCGGTCACCTGGGTGGTGTGGGGCTGGACGTGTACGAGAACGAGGGTGAGAGGGCTTTGACTAGCTTGCGGGGATGAGTCAAGATCAGTGGGACATGCTTGTGGATGAACAAGTGTCTGCATGTGGGTAGTTTCATGTGCGCGTGAGTGTGATAGGTGAGCTTGGGCGTATGCAGGGTTGGGGCACATAGTCAGCATGTAAAGACGTTGAGCATCGCCGGTAGGGCCAGCCAAGCAAAGGTTCGAATCCTCATGGCCCCACACCGCCTGCAGGGTCCCTCTTTTTTGAGGACTGGACTTCGATGCAGGTGTGGGGTTGTTTGACAGAGATACAGGCCACGTGGGTTGTTATTGGCGGGGTGTTCTTGACAGCGCATCAGATGCAGAGGGATACAAGCTCATGGCTACGCCAGCGCAGCCTTGCAGGTGCATGAGCTGGTCTCAGCGTCGCTGGCAACAATGCGAGCGAGCGAACGCTGGCCGTGCTGCGCACGCCGGTCGGCCGGCTGCATCCCTTGGAAAACAGCTGGCGTTTCAAAGGATGGCAGGGCCGCAGGGCGCTTGTGCTTATGGCTAGAGTAGGATTGGCGTCCTTAACGCATGCAATGCATAAGTGATGTGATGCATCAGTCTTCGGAATGTGCTCTGACACAGTTCCACACTTGCCCTTGCCCCCTCCCCGGTCGATGTCTTGCCTTGCACCATGTATGGCCCGCCCACCAATGTGCTGTTGGTGCTCCTGCTGCTGCTTTTTCTGTGCTTCTGCTGCTGCTTTTGCTGCTGCTTTTGCTGCTGCATCCCACCAGGCTCGTGACCGTATGAGGTTTTGGGACCGGCGCTTCAAGGAGCTGGTGTCGTTCCCACAGGTGAGGGTGGAGAGGGTGTGCGCACCTGTGTTGTGCGTGCGTGTGCGCACGTGTGTGTGCACCTGTGATGTGCGTGCGTGTGCGCACGTGTGTGCGTGCGTGCGTGTGTGTGTGTGTGTGTTTGCGTGTGTGTGTTTGCGTGTGTGTGTGTGTGTGTGTGTGTGTGTGTGTGTGTGTGTGTGTGTGTGTGTGTGTGTGTGTGTGTGTGTGTGTGTGTGCGCGCGCGCGTACGCGCGCGCGCATGCCTTTGAGGG